AGGTATTGATTACCTTAGCCCTTGCCATGTAAAGGGTTAACACTAGATGTATTCTGCATCATCAGTAATGCAAATGATCACATAATAACAGACGGTAAAGAGAAAGACGGTTTCGTGTCAAGCCTCACGTTACCCTGATGTACAAGAATATTTTACAAGTGGCAAATTTGCAAACAGCTGAGTGTCAACAGTCTCTATTGATACTGATCAAGATTTCAACGTCCCCAAAGATGCAGTGTAATGCATCGGCAAAACTTGAGTGGGTTACAAAGAACTTTTCAAAATAATTGTTTGCTATATTTGAACTACTAAAGAATTCCACTCAGCTTACAATATCAGATTGACTTCGGTTGGGTACCAGCTTGCTGACTTAATTTGTCACACACAAGAACATAAACAACATTGGAACAGGAGAAAGCCATTCAGCCTCTCAAGACTATTCCACTGTTCAGTGAGATCACATTGATCCATGACCAAACTCCACATATTCACCTTTGTCTCATAGTTTTTTTCAAAGCTTTGGTATCAAACATAGAATTACAATGAATAATTGACCAAGCATCAACCGTCATTTGTGAAAGAGAGGTTCCAAATTTCCAGTACCCCTTGAGTGTTGAAGTCCTTCATAACTTCATTCCTGAAAATTCTGGACTTTAGTTTTTCAACCTAATTAGTTGAAGATTTTGACCTGACTCCAGGCTGCACAGTCAAAAGAGAGAGCTGCTCCTCATTTACCCTATCAGGTCACCTTAATATCTTTAAAACTTTGATCAAATCACCACCTAAAATTCTGTATTCCAGACAGTACAACCTTGGTTTGTGTCAACTCTCCTTGTCCATTGACTCTTGGATCCCAGGCATCATTCTGGTTAGTCTTTTGCTACACTTCCTTCCAGGCCAATAAATCCTCCCTAAAGTTTGGTCCCCAGAACTGCTCAGAACACAAATGGTACAATCAAAACGAAGCTTTGTATAGCTGTTGCAAACTTCCAGCCCTCGCATTCTTGTCCTCCAGGTATAAAACCAACATTCAAACTAAGTTTTTGAATATCTTTTTAATGTCCATTTTAATGATCTGTATTCATGGACCTATAAGTCTCTTGGATCCTCAGTGCTCTACTTTTTCAGACTCTTTCAGATTGAAGGTAGATTAATTCAACCTTGCGAAGAGCGAAATCCATTTACGGTTATTTTTCTCATTCAATTGACAGAGTCATAGAGATGTACAGCACGGGAACAGATCCTTCTGTCCAACTCATCCATGCCGACCAGATATTCTAAATTAATCTAGTCCCATTTGCCAAAATTTGGCCCCTATCTCTCTAAATCCTTCTATTTCACGTACGCATCCAGATGTCTTTTAAATGTTATAATTGTACTAGCCTCCACCACTTCCTCTGCAGCTGTTTCCATACACACACCATTCTCTGCGTGAAAAAGTTAGCCCCCAGGTCCCTTTTATATTTTTCCACTCTCACCTTAAACCTATGCCTTCTAGTTTTGGACTCCCTTCACCGGGAAAAAAGATCCTGGCTATTCTCCCTATCCATACCCCTCATGATTTTATAAACCTCTATTAAGGTCACCCCTTCAGCCCCCGACGCTCCAGGGAAAATAGCCCCAGCCTATTCAGTCTCACCCCATAGCTCAAACCCTCCAATCCCAGCAACATCCATGTAAATTTTTTAAGCACCCTTTCAAGCTTAACAAAATCTTTACTATAGCAGGGAGAACAGAACTGAATGCAATATTCCAAAAGTGACCTCATCAATGTCCTGTACAGCCGCAACATGAAAATATTCCTATACTCCAACTACTGTACTGAATGCACTGACCAATAAAGACAAGTGTTCCAAACGCATTCTTCACTACCTTACCTGTGACTTCTCCTTCAAGGAACTGTGAACCTGCACCCCAAGGTCTCTTTGTTCAGCAACATTCCCCAGGACACTACCTGATTTGCCTTACCAAATGTTAAAATTTGTTTGGTAGCATTGTGTTCACATCTGCAGTGACCTTTTGAAAAGTCATTCGTAAATATGATGAATACTTCAAGCCTTTCTGTACACAATTGTTCACATTCTAGAGCCCTGTTATCTCAACTGTCACACAGCTAGACTTCTAACCAGATCAACAATTTGCCTTCAAGTCCATATGCCTCAAATTCAGCTAATAATATCACCTCTTACCTGTGACTGTCAAATTCCTTCTGCTGTCCAAATAAATAACATCAATAGACTTTTCCATCTCTGCTAGTTTTAGTCACTTCTCAATCAGTTTTGCCAGGCATGGTCTATCCTTTACAAATCCCAACCAGGACACTCTCTGACCAGTTGAAAACATTCAAGCTCATAAAATAAGTCACAATCAAACATCTGGCTGAACTAATGCACACAAGTCGTACTTGAGTGGATAAGCCTGTTATTTTGAATAGTTGATGTGATAATTTTTGGAACAACTGAAATGTAATGCTGGACCACCACTCTGCTGTCCTCCAACAAATTATAGACATTTATCCTCAGTGGATGATCTTGTTTTATTCCATTTTAGTTACTTGTAATGCATTCCTATCACATTTGAAAGGTTCTGCCTGATTAATGGGCTTGAGGCCAGGATGTCCGAAGCAATGTTGATAGTGTTGGTTCTCGGGAGAACTTGATGAGTACGGATCCAATAATGTTCAAGCAGCTTCACATCATCCAACTCAAAACAGTCACTTGACTGGCACCCAATCTGCCACCTTCAACATTCACTCCCTCACCACTGATGGCACATTGTGTAACATCTACAAGACGTACAGCAGAAATTCATCAAGACTCCACTAACAACACTTTTCAATTGCATGGACCGATTAGCAGGTAGATAGTCAGGGACAGCTCATACATGGAAGCACCAGCATCAGCAAGATCTCCTCCAAGACACACACCGCCCTGACCTAGAACCATTCCTTTCCTGTCATTGGGTGAAATTCTTGTAACTCCCTTTCTAACAGCACTGTAAGTCTTTCAGCTACATATGAAATGCTGCAGTTCAAGAAGGCAGCTCACCACCACCTTATACATGGGGCAGTAAGGAATGGGAAATAAATGGTGCCCAGCCTGTGGTGCCCATACGCCATGAATAAACAATAATGAATAAAACTGTTGCTTTCTGTCTCTATTTAGGTGCGAGTCCAATATTTAACTTATACTTGCGTATGGGTTGCAGTCAAAAATTTCATCAGTATCAGCCTACTATTGTGACTGATCAAAACACATTCATTATAAGTTATTTTGTCAAAATAAGAACTGGTGATGCTTTCTTTCAATGCAATTACTGTCAGAGAAGATTGAATGCAATAAAGTTTGTGTTGGGGTGTGAAATACTTTGGCTTGGCAGTAGCTTTTTTGGGCCATAATGAGTTTCCATAAGCAACATCAACACACACCTCTGCCTTGGCAGGATTCCAAATGATTACAGCTCGAGTTTAAAAGCGCTGTGGCAGACCATTCTGTAGATAACCAATAATTGCAAGGAAGAGCACAGCAAGTCACTTCAAATAGTAAGTGTGATCCAGCTGTTATTGCCCCCGATGCATGGTTTTCTGCTCTGTACAAGATTATTTGTGTCTGATATATAATAATTGTAAAATGAAAAGGAAAGTGGGGAGCAGACTAAAGCAGAGATAGGAAGAACTGCAGATGTTGGAGTTTGAGATAACGCAGTGTTGAGCTGGAGGAACGCAGCAGGCCAGGCAGCATCAGAGGAGCAGGAATGTTGACGTTTCAGGTCTGGGCCCTTGAAGCAGCCTCCATACTTTTACAGTGTAGATAATACAGTTGTTTGAACCACTGATAGTCATACTTGTGAGATGGATTTGGTTATTTCAGTTGGCTGGATGGCTGTTGTGTGATGTGGAGCGATGCCAACAGTGTGGGTTCAATTCCCCCACGAGCTGAGGTTATCATGATGACCTTGCCTTCACAACCTCACCCCTTGCCTGAGATCCAGGGACACTCAGATTTAACACAATCGTCTCTCTCCAATGAGAGAGCGGTCCTACAATCCTCTGGGACTAGGATGACACTACCTATACCAGTAAGTTACTCAAACTAGGCAGTATAGAGAAAAGGAGTGGTGGGAAAATGATGCAGGAAGAAAAAAAGATAACATCCATTTTCAAACAATTACAGATTTATTACTTGTAGCTAGTTAACAACGGTTCTGAGACTGCTCTTTACAGCTAATTAAGTACTTTTTAAACTGTGGTTAAAAGTCAGACAATGCAATAACTAAGAAATAGAAAATAGAAGCAGTAGTAGGCCATTCGGCCCTTCAAGACTGCTCTGTCATAGCTGATTATGCAACTCAAAACCCTGTTTTCATTTTCTCCCCATATCCTTTGGTCCCTTTTGTCCTAAGAACTATATCTATTGATATACAGACATACCGTGCAAGCAGCCATGAAATAATGACCAGCTAATCTGCTATAATGATATGGTAGCCTGATAATTTGTTGGCCAGCAAGTCGAGGAGAACGTACCTTCTCTTATTCAAAATTGTGCTATATCTGATTTTTTTTATTATACAACTAAGAGAACAAAGGGGTCCTTGCTGAATTACAGACATTTGGCAGTGTGGTACTTGCTCAGTACTGCACTGGAGTGTCTGGAAGATAGAGTGAAATCCTGATATAGCAATTGGATTCACAACCTACTGACTACAGAGACAAGAGCTCTGCAAGGCAGGAACAGAATTCAGTCCTTTTCCCTCTGAACAGTTGTTGAAAATCTGAGGCTTTACTACAACATCTTGTTGGCAACCTTCCTCTCTTCTCCAGCCTGACCTGACTTTAGCATTTTCACAGATGAAAGGAAAACAGACTCAAACAATCCGATATTGCAATTACGTCTCAAAGTGAGCAGAAATGTTGCAGAGCTGGGTCAGAGAAATAATAATGTTCACAGTGGCTCGATATTGAAAAGAAAATCCAATGCCCTGATTTATAAAATTCTTGTCACCTTATCACCTTCTGTCTTTTCCAATTCCTGTTTAGCTGCTAATAGTTTGCGTTCCAGATCAGTCAGCTGCTGTGCCTAGGGAGAGAAAGATACAAGAAATAGTAATGTACAAAGCAGAACAACATAAATATGCATTTAAAATCTCCCTGAGTACAATATAGAATAAGACCATAAGACCACAAGAAATAGGAACAGGGGCAGCGTGTTCAGTCCTTTGAGCCTTCTCCACCATTCAAGGGAACCATGGCTGAGCCAACACTCCTCATGTCCACTTTCCTGCCCTTCCCCCATAACCATGGATTCCTGGAATTTAATTAAGCTAAATGAGGGGTGTTGGTAAACAAGGACAGGACTTACATAGTTAATGGTAATGGTCGGACTCTGGGGAATGTTGTTGAACTGGGAGACTCAGGGATTCAGATACACTGTTCCTTGAAAATTGCATCACAGGTAGACAAGGTGGTTAAGGCGGCATTTAGCCCACTTGCCTTCATTGCTCAGTCCATTGAGTATAGGAGTTGGGAAATCATATTGTGTCTGTACAGGATGTTGGTGAGGCCACTTTGGAGTACTGCGTACAGTTCTGGTCATTCTGCCAAAGGAAGGATATTATTAAATTGGAGAGGGTGCTGAAAAGATTTACAAGGATGTTACCGGAAGTGGAAGTTTTGGGTTATAAACTGAATAGCTGGATAGGCTGGGAATCTTTTCACCGGACCATAGGAGGTTGACGGATGACCTTGGAAAAGCTTATAAAATCACGAGGGCCATAAGATAAGGTGAATAGCAAAAGTCTTTCCCCTAGGGTGGGGGAGTTCAAAACTAGAGGGCATAATTTTAAGGTGAAGGGGAAAAATTTAAAAGAGACCTGAGGGGCAACTTTTTCACACAGAGAGTGGTGCATGTATGGAATGAACTACCAGAGGAAGTGGTAGGTACAAGTACAGCTACAACATTTAAATTACATTTGGGTGGATACATGAATTGGAAAGTTTTAAAGGGACGTGGACCAAACACAGACAAATGGGACTAGTTTCATTTGGGAAACCTGGCTGGTGTGGACGAGTTAGACTGAAAGGTTTGTTTCCATGTTGTATAACGCTATGATCCTTTGACTCTATTACTCTACTGATCAAGGACCTATCTACCTCAGCACTAAATATACATGAAGACTCTGCCCCTACTGCTCTCTGGCAAGAGGTTCCAAAAACTCACAACCCTCGGAGAAGAAATTCTTAAATTCTCAGTCTTAAATTGGCACCTCTTCATTCTGAGATTATGCTCTTTGGTCCAAGACTGTTCCGTAAGGGGAAACATCCTCTCAGCATTTACCCTGTCAAGCCCCTTAAGAATCTTATATGTTTCAATGAGATCACTGCTCATTCTTTGAAGTTCCAATGAGTTTAACCTCTACTCATCACACAATCCCTCCATGCCAGGGTGTCATCTTAGGGGACCTTCTCAAGCTGCCTTCAATAAAATAATTTTCTTAAATCAGGAGACCAAAACTCCTCACAGTCTCCAGATGTGGTCTCACCAGCACCTTGTACATTTAGAGTAAGACTTCCCTACTTTTAAATAATAGCATTATCTCACCAAATCATTAAAAGGCCACATGTTGATTAATAAACATTGCTAGCTGGTACCAAACAGTTACAAGTCTACTCTTGTGACCTTAATTTTGGGCCAGGTTCAAATTCCACCTGTTTCCTGGAAGTGTGTGTCATAACACGTGTGAATCAGATTGATTAAAAATAATGTTCACAAAAAATGGGCTCTTATGACACAGCGGTAGCACCCCCAATCTCTGAGTCAAAAGGTCCAGGTTTAAATCTCACCAAATTTGCAGGTCTGCTGTGCGGTTAGTATCCAAACAACACGATTTAAACAAAACAAAAATTGACTGATCTTATGGACTGGAGTGAACATAGATCTATCCTCAGAAAATGTCATGATAGGTTCTGATGAGGAAGGTCAATCCAGACATTTTAAGTTTACATCTAGAAGGTCCTTGAAGCCCAGTTGCATCTCATCATTGTTCTCTTGGGCTAGGAAGCCAATACATAATCTTCACAGTCGACACTAGCATCCAGAATGAGAGAACACTGGGGTTCAACACCAGTGTGTGGTTCCCCTCATGTCCCAGGCAGTACACAGTAATGTTACACAGCTACTAGCAGAACTTGTTGTATAGCCCTCCCTCGGAGCTAGAAGCTTTGAGATCGAATCCCGACTCAGAACTTGACGACCAAGGAAGATGTGTCCATAAAACATCGGAGCAAAGTGTGTAACATCCTGGAACTTTCTTTTAAAAGACATTGATAGCACACGGTAAAAACAGGAGAAATTCCTGGTCAGCCATGTGATGGAAAGCAAGTTAGAGGTGTCAACATTACTGTCCATAGATCCAGGCTACAACATGCATGTAAAAAGTGCATGTCGCCACTGTAACTCAACATCCCTAAGTGAACTTTAACTCACAATCATTGCCACTTAGAGCGAGTAGGAATTTTTTAATGTTAATTACTTTGCAATTTAGCATTCAGGCTGCAAACCATTTTCTTAAATAAACACCATCATATATAAAATTCCATTATAGTTTGTACTTAGAATTATCACATCTACTTGCAAAATAGCCAAACAGAAAAAGGACTAGTTGGTGTTTCTGCTCCACCTATTTTTGCTAAATGCATCTCACCTCCCCACTTCCAACCTTACCATCCCCAATTATCTCCTCACTACCTCAGACTATACAATAATTTTTTGACCAATATTTATAAGAAGGAATTGTAAAAAAAATTGAGTAAAGGTTTCATGATTTGTGATTTGGTTGCAATCACATTAATTAAAATTAATCAATCGAGAAAGCTTGCTAATTAACCTAAAACAGACTATTAAACTATAAATATAATCACATTTTATAAATGATGCATCTTCTAAATTGATGAATAAATTCAGAAATAAGAGCAGCTCGGTTTGGATCTTTTCTAATAAGATTTTGAAGCATTCTTGCTTAAAATTCTGCTTATTTGCTGGTTTGACAACTAAATCAGGAAGAAACGTATTAAAAAATAATTGACTATAAGAAACTAAAGGGAAGCTGTGCAGCATAATGTCCTTGCTTAGAATACCTCCATCTGAGTCCAACTAAAATTACTGGCATTAAACCTTCGTCTTTTTGCTGACTGCAACTGTTTCACATGAATTCATTTGGCATCACTCTGGACTGACTCTTAGGCATTAATCCATGAAGCAAAACTAAACTTAATGTCATGTTAATTGGACCTCAGTTGACAATAATCAGGGACTGGAATTCAAGATAGCATTGAGAAAGTATCCTATGTCGCCCAACTGTGGCATAAATTTAATGTAAAGTTGATTCTTGCATGTTCTATATTTGTAAAATAAAGTGATGTTGGTTAAATCTTTCACTGTGGTCTTTCTTCCACTGAATCTATATGACACATGCCTGACTTGGGACTGATGCATAGTGCAAAGGTATTGCATTCTGCCAGCACAGATTCTTCAATTTAATGAAGACAGACATTTGTCTAAAATATATATGCACTTGCCTCAGGCCTTCACTATATCAGGCAAACTAAAGACCTGAAGGTATTGCTCAGAATTAGAAATTTTGATATCAATATATGAACTCAGAGTTATTCAGAATTGAAACAGACCCTTCGGTCCGACCAGTCCATGCTGACTATAATACCATACTAAACCACTCCCACCTGCCTGTCCTTGGCTCATATCCCTCCAAACATTTCTAATTCATGAAATTATTCAATTTTTTTTTTTTTTAAACGTTTTAACTGTACCCACATCCACTACCTCCTCTGGAAGTTCATTCCACACACGAACGACTCTCTGTGTAAAAAAAATTGCCCCTCATGTCTTTTTAAAATTTTCCTCCTCTCACCTTAAAAATATGCCCTCTAGTCTTGAAAGCCCCCATCCAAGGGAAAAGACATCTGCCATTCACCTTATTTATACCCCTTATGATTTTATAAACCTCTATAATATCACCCTCAATATCCTACGCTCCAGTGAAGAAAAGTTCCAGCCTATCCAGCCCACCCTTAAAAGTCATTACTGGCAAGCAGTTCCTGGTAAATCTTTTCTGAACCCTCTCCAGCTTAATAATATCTTTCCAAAAGGTGGGTGACCACAACTCGACAGAATACTCCAGGAGCAGTCTCACCAACATAATGTACTCAACATAACGTCCCAACTCCTTTTTCAAAGGTCTGAGCAGTGAAGAAAGTGTGCTAAACACCTTCTTAAGCACCCTGTCTACTTGTGATGCAAATTTCAAAAAATTATATACCTGATTCCCTAGATCTCTCTGTTCTACAACATCACCCAAGGCCCTACTTTTAGTTGCTTAAGTCCTGTCCCTGTTTGTTTCACCAAAATGCAATACCTCACATTTATCCAAATTAAACTGCCACTCCTCAGCCTATCGACCCAATTGATCAAGATCTCTTTGTAATCTTAGATAACCTTCTTCACTGTCCACTATAGCACCAATTTTGGTGTCATCCGCAAACATTCTAACTTACTACATGTGAAGATGTTTCAGTTGTTTGGACAGATACACAAATGAAATGGAATAAGATTTAATAGATTAATCCGTATAGCACAACTTTCTGCTCCCAGACGATGTGAGAAGAATGATGAGCACGAGAAATTAATTGGGAAGAATCCAAAAATCAGATTCGCGACCTCAAAATAAACCTGAGGCAAATGCAGACACAAGGGGCTGAATGGCCTCTTTCTGTGCCATAACTGTTCTGCAATTCTCTGATTTTGAGAGTTAAGCCCTCCCTCTTCTGAATATGAGTTGATCTCCTGGCATCGGGGATTAGGAACCTCATACACAGGAATTTATATCTCATTAATTACGTAACTCACTGGAATGAACTTTTAATGTTTCAGATCCTCGATCAATGTAGCAAACATGCATCTGGTGACCCTAATACACCTCTTTACCACTTCCATCACTTTAGTGATCACCCAGAGTGGATTGATGGGCTGGTTTGCATTTGTCCACCGTTGTGTGTACCTTAGGA